AGCTACTGTTGGATGATTTTATCACTGGTTGTACAACTGAGAATGAGATTTAAGTTACTCAGAATTAATAGGTCAGGTCTAAAGTCATATTCTTGAGGGGAAGAGACATTCATACACTTGTGTTGTTTTTATTTAGGAAAAAAATACCAATCATTTTATGGCCACTAAATAAAGCAATCCCTAACATACAACTACATCAGAAATTGAAAGCCAATTCTTAATAGAAATCCCAACCTCGGCTGAAAATTAATGCTATTTGTGAGAAGTTGGAATAGAAAAAAAGGTTAAAAACACAGTAAGACAACAGGCAAATGGCAATTCTGGTGGTATACTGAATTTTCCATGAATTCTCTTATAAGACTTGTACTCTACCAATATTTCTAAGACAATAATTCCTAGTGCCAGGAAAAGAAGCCAACACAGGCTCCTCCATTACAGCTCCCACACCGTTATTACTATCTCCAAATGAAAATAATGCATACATTTCTACAGCAATATCTAAATGTTATTATTTTTCAATGATATATAACTTTTAATTTCACTATTGCTTGTCACAAACAAGATGATGAGTGTTTGCTTCAGAATGATTGACTTGATTTTTTCAGGCAGTACAATGGTCCTAAGCAATGCTACAGAAAGTCAGTAAAGTCTGAGGCTAAAGAAGGTCAAGAATAGCCAGACACAGTGGTGCACACCTGTAATCCAAGCACTCAGGAGGCTGAGGCTGGAGGATCACCACAAGTTCAAGGCCTGCCTGGACTACACAGTGAGTTCAAAGCCAGCCTGAACTATATAGTGAGATCCTGCCTAAATAAATAAATACATACATACATAAATAAACAAATAAAGCTAAGAAAAATAAACGGAAACACAATTCACAGTATTTGGAGGAATTCCAGGTTAAAAAGTAATACATAAATAAAATCTCTGAGATAGCATTTATTGAGGAAAAACAAAGTAAGCATTTGGTAAAGAAATCAATATATTGCAATGAGTTCTGAAACAAAACTATGGCAATGGTATTCAGATGAGCTAGTCTGTTCCACGTGATTTCAATAAACTTAGAAACTTCAGCCTTCAATTGCTGTACCTCTAGACTAGATTTCAATAGCAAAGTCATTTTAACATTAAAACAAATCACATGAAGAAGATATAAGCCATAGTCAAAAACCAGAAAAGAACAATGTATGGAAAACAAAAATCTGTGCATTAATAAGTCCAAAAACTTAAACGTAAAAGTATGATCATATACAGACCTCTATGATACTCCTCCAACAACTAGGGCCTTTTTCTGGGGGAAGCCAGCACATCCTAGAGCAAGGACTGTTAAAATTTGGTGAAAATTCAGGCAATGTGAATGAACGAGGACTTCACAGGAAATAAGTGTTAGGAAGGTCATATTTTTAATAGCTACATAAGTTTGTTTACAGTTACACACTGTAATGCTCCTTGTCATAGACATTGCCTCAAACTAGTTTTCAACTGTTATACAACACTCAACTAGCTGAGGACTTCACACAACTTTCATTCTGGAAACAATCAAATGGTACTTCCTCAATGAAGTCCATGTCACATTAAGAACAATTACAGGGTAATTCTCTATGTAATTATCATGAAACTGAGTACAACTCAGAGAATAAAGTGCTTTTTGACCCAGCAAAAGAATCATTCTTACTTTCCTACTAAATGCTAGGATTTGTAGGTTTGTAGCTGTTGGTTAAATTTTAAAATCCTGGTTTACTAAGTGAAACTGCTAAGACGGAGCTTTACATACCACTTTTAAGGCAGATGTGAAAAGATCCACTGGAATGAAAAGCTGCCAACCATTTATATACAATATTTATATTTCTCTGAAGAATGCATTTTACAAGTTTACATCACTAAACTCTAAATCTGACTAGCTTTTCTAGGATAAACCAATAATTTAAGTTTCTCAAGCTGCTTCTTAGTTTTTACTTATTAGACATGAACAGGTCAGTTTTAATATAAATGGAAAACCACATCTAAAAAGATGACCTTGATAAAGGTTAACGCTGCCATCAGCTTTAGCACAGAGGTAGCTACCAAACTCTGAATTCCTTTGCTTGAATACAAGTGATATACTCTGAATTAATCAAGCTGGTCATGAGAGGTGTCTGCCATTTCACAAAATGCAAATGCACTGAGAGGTGACTTGCAAATCAAATCATTTCTTATGAAATATAAGCACTGAAAATATAATTAGAGATCTAGCTTTTGTCTGGTTGAAAATAATATATTCCACTGGGAAAAAGAAATGGGGATGAGGCTGAAGCTAGGGATAAACTGAGCAAACTGTATCTCACTAATTAATGAATCTAAAGTATCAGCCAGGTTTTTCAATTTGGGACTAAGCCAGAATGAACAACTTTTTACGTAGTAGAAGATACAGTGATACTTTGGTTGACAAACTTAACTTGTTTCACAATTTTGTGGAAGATGACTGTTTGTATGGGGAAGATGGCTGTGGTCATGTTTATCACTTGATGTCTGTGAACAGAAGCAAAATTTTGCCAAACAGCTTGTTTGAGAAGAGAACTACTTGCAAACAGAAGAGTTTTTGAACCAAGGTACTACTGCACTTGGCTACCTAAAGAACAATATCCTGCTAGAATTCTTGGAAACACTGTAGCTTCTCACTAAACACAAGCAAGTTTCAGGTAACGGTTCTGATGTGGAGTATGAGTAATGCGTCAGTCTTGGCCATGGATGTAAGGAGCTCAACATTCTCTGCCGTCCATCCTGGCAGTGTCTGGTAAGCCCTCAAGGTACAGATTCTGACTTAGTTACCTCCTCAGTGACTCTTCGCTCAGGCACACTAAGTGTTCACTATGATTCAACCCAATTTAAAAATGGTAGTGGGGGCTGGGGATTTAGCTCAGCGGCAAAGCACCTGCCTGGCAAGTGCAAGGTCGTGAGTTCGGTTCCCAGTACCGGAGAAAAACCAAAAAATAAAAAAAAAAAATAAAAATAAAAATAAAAAAATAAAAATGGTAGTGAAAAAATTCCACCAAAATAAAAGGAAAGATGAAATTAAAATAGGCATATCCTAAAAAAAACACCAAAAAACAAAAAACCCCAAAAAACAGTAGCAGAGAAAAGCAGCTAGGAAAAAAATCAAATCACTGAAGTTGGAAACCGAACTATATGAAGTAATATGAAGCCTGAGGAACTAATGAAAAATTAAAAAGAAATCACTATAAGAATGGTGAAAGGCTGCAGAATTTCATTTGGCTAATGTTCTTTATTTATTTATTTATTTAATTAGCTAACATTTTTAAAGTGCCAAAATTCACGGTAAATTGGAGTTTTTGAATTTGCTAGTCTTATCAAGTTTAAGTTTTCCTTATCAACATTCTGATTTGCATCTGTCTCCATAAAATAAAAATCCAACAGGCTATAGTATTAGTGATATTAATATTTTATGCTCTTGGCTGTCACTCAGAATAATTATTTTATAAAACTGTACACATCTGCAAACAGAATGAACTTATCCAACTGTATAATCAACTGGTTATTACTCATTTATAGAATTTGGTACTTGCTGATTATGTAGTACACTTTTCACAAAGTACAAACCTAAATGTTTAACAAATCACTATTAATTGCTTTGGGATGCTTAAAAAGCCAAGAACCCTACAACCTGAACCTAGAACTAGCCAAAATATATTCTGTTCATCCCCAAAAGCAAAATCATGTAATAAAGACAGTGTGAGGGCTGGGGACATAACTCAGTGGCACAAGTACTTGCCTGGCAAGCACAAGGTCCTGAGTCTGATTCCCAGTACCAAAAAAAAATGAGTGAAAAGACATCTCCAAGTCTCACTCCTATAATAACACTTTTTGAAAGTGCACATCAATTCTTTCTCTCTGGTGAGGCCTAATCTTACTACTTAGGGACATACTCAATCCCATTAAGTTAATTACTCTTAAAAGCTGACATATGGACATTACACTGAGTTTGCCATCAGCAAACCCATCAGGTGGATGTCATAAAGCATATACCTTTTCAGTACATGTCAACACTAGTCAGATATAGGCTTCTCATATTACATTCCACAGCATCACACTAGAGGATACATACCTACACAAAAATGGAACAATGGAAAAGTCCACCTATTGTAACTTTTTATTTAATAAAAAAAAATTGTACCTTTAGTTGTTTTTTTTTTCTTCACTATTTAAAAAAAAGGTTGGTTCCGGTGCTTAATGACGTGACTTTCAGTTGCAGATCCATAGATAATCACAAACCATTACTCTTCAACATATCTGTACTTACAAGTAGATACAAGTGGATGTACAGAAATAATGAACACACAGGTATGGACTCCTGTCACTGCCTATGTGCCTCCAAGTAAACTGCTAAAAAGAGATAGCACACAGGAGAAATGAGAGACCTGGTTCTAAATCACTCTACCAGAGGAATTTCTTTCAGAGTTGCTACAAAGATATCAACAAACATATTGATCACTATTGGATCTTTCCTAGTGGCCATTTTTAGAGTGGCTCTTCTTAGTTTCAGTTTCTGTGAGTGAAAGCCAGTGTAATACCTGCTATAAAATATAACGTGAAACATTATATACCAACCTTGGTCAATCTTGAGTTTCAATTTTTAGTTCTATGGCAATAGGTGCAAATTTGAGCCCTCTATCCTGTCTATTGTTTAATGTAATGTAAGACAAGTCAACCACATATATCACTTTAACATATACCAACTGTCCTACAGAACTACACACCTGTTTAAGAATGAAGAAGTAAAGTAGCGACACCACTTCTAAGCAGCTGTCGATGTAAGATAAAGTGAAAGGGAAGAAAGATGAAAAAAAGGCAAAACAACCTAGTAACAAACCCCCACATTTTTGTAGTACTGAGTCTGTTGGTAGTGCTGTTCTTCCAATTTAAAAGAAATGAAAAATTAGAAAAGGATAAACAGCTAATTTTTTTGTACTCATTAACTCTTAAAAATTAAAGTGAGAAAAATATATATTTAAGTGGAAAGAATACCAATTTCACTTTATTAGCCTAATTTAGGAATAAGATGAGAACAGAGTTGAGGTCAGGTACGAAGGAAAAGGGTTAAAACTTGTGATGGTAAAGATCCCTTCAACACTCTGGTGCAGTCCTCAATCACTGCAGCTTCACTTCATTCAACAGAGCTGTGATCCACACACTGAAAGTGCCTCCTGTTCTCTACTGTGTGGCCAGTGACTCTTCAGTTACAGTGTGATGAGGTCTACCAGGTTGCCTTTAGGAGGAGTCATGCTGTCAGGAAAGAAATTTACTAAGGTGTCAAAGAGCTGAGTTCTTTGAGCATAGGTGTGATCCACATCCGAGAAGCCTAGTAAAGAAGAGAGAACAAACAAATTCATCCACTGCGATCATTTAACATGTAACAGAAAAATTACTTTGGAATAGCAGCAATGCATAATGGAAAAAAATAAAACAAAATCAAGCTTCAAAACTAGACAGGCTACTAATGTGATCCCTATTCTACTAGCTGGCAGTGCTGTGGACTTAGGTAATATCAGCTTCGCTAGCTTTCAGCACTTTGTTTCTTTGCTGTAAATCTAGGATCATCCTGTTTACAAGAGTTGTGCGATTAAATGCAATTATATGTAAAGTACCTAGCAGAAAGACTGACACTTTAGTAACTAATATTAATTTCTTTTCCTTTCTTTTTTTTTTTTTCTTTTTGGTTTTTCTCCGGTACCGGGAACCGAACTCATGACCTTGCGCTTGCCAGGCAGGCGCTTTGCCGCTGAGCTAAATCCCCAGCCCCTCTTTTCCTTTCAAAGTTCTTCCTCTGTTAGTCCATTAAAGAAATTTCAGTCCTTTTTTCTGACCTTTTAATGCTTCTGATTCAACGAATATTCTGATAATAAAAATAAAATCAAAATGAAAAGGATTTTTAGAAAGTATCTTAAAATCATTAAGGCTTTGAGAAATAGAAGTAGTATCAGAGAACTGAATGTAGATGACTGAGAGAAGTAATATGTAGAACGGTACCTGGCACATTGTAAATACCATGTTACAGTACTATGTACCAGGCTCTCTACTGGGGATATATTATATAAGAATAAAGAATGAACTATGTTTATTCAGATGAATATTAGAAAGTGAGTGACATTATTAAAAGGTGGCACTGTTACTCTAAAGATACTCTTGCCTTAACCTCTAGTTCAAGTTTAATTTTCAAGTTCCTCCCAGCCAATGCAACATTTAGCAAGTTGCCTCCTTTCTATCATCTGGTACACTGATTTCAGGTGCTTCAGATTTCTTACATACAAATTAAGTATTTAAATGACAAAATATATGACTTTCCTGTTGTTGAAAGAGCTAGCTGAGACACTGCTGTGAGCCCTGCTGTGTGCCATCAGAAAAAGAACTAGAGCCATAAAGTGTTACAGATGACATGATGTATAAATGAAAATTGCTTCAAATCAGACTGATTTCCATTCAACTCAGAATACAGTTTTAGGTCCAGTCTGGTTTTTTTGTTTGTTTTTTTTTCTTCCGGTACCAGGAATCAAACTCACGACCTTGCGCTTGCCAGGCAGGCGCTGTGCTGCTGAGCTAAATCCCCAGCCCCAGTTCAATCTGTTTTAATCTGGTAAAGAACAGGAATAGAACATAACACTGCCAAGGATACCAGTTTCCTGGAAGAAAATAAACAATACCTCAAAAATGGTACATTCCTTTTTATTTTTAAATTTTTTATTATTACTGTCTTAAGTTTGAGGGGAAAATGTTTCTTCCTTTGAGCTAAGCTTTTATCAAAGCCTACTATCATATCACAGAAATGAATAGAAGGAAATATTCCAAAAAATTAGCAAAGCTTATCTCTGAATGGTGAGATTGTAATCTTTTTTTCTGTATTATGCTTTCTGAATTTTCCAAATTGCTTTATTTTCACTTTTTTCATCTGAAAACTTTCAAACCAACAGACAAGTTTCAAGAAGAGTACAGCAAACACTCGGATTATTTATTTATTTGTCTTTTTTGAGACAGGGTCTCCCTATGCAGTTCAGGCTGGCCTTGAGCGCACTTTGTAGCCCAGGCTGGTCTTGAACTCACAACGATCCTCCTGCCTCAGCCTCCCAAGTGCTGGGATTACAGGTATGCGCCACACACCCGGCTTATTCTTCATTTAGATTCAGCTGCTGTTGACATTCTGCAGATACATTCTTATGTGTTTTTAACCTACTCATAATAATTTTGTAAAACTACTTGAGAATAAATTTTACACACCTTCCCCCTAAATTCTTGAGCACATTTCAGCTAAGAACAAGAATAGCCACTTATACAACCACTATTTACTAAATTCAGAGAATTTAGCATTGATATCCCAATAAACTTGTCTATCATCATTTTCCCCACTAATTTAAAATCCAATCCAATTAAAGATTATGCATTCTAGATAGTGTGTTTCTTTGTGGCGGGGTACTGGGGATTGAACACAGGGCCCTGGGCATGCTAGACAAGCACTCTACCACTGAGCTATACTCCCAGCCCTATAAACAGTTTTCAAGTTTTTTTAGTCTGAAATAGTTCCTTAGCCTCTCTTTGTCTTTTATGACACAGATATTTTTGAAGAGTACAGAGAAGTTATGAGCAGAATGTTAAATTTGGGTTTTATGATTGGTTTTTCATGATCAGATGCTGTTTATGACATCTTAGCCAGAATACTGCAGAAGCAATTCTGGGTATTCTTCTCAGTGCATCATTTTGAAAGGTATGTGGTGATCTGTCTCAGTACCAGCGATGTTAACTTTGATCATGTGTTGGTGTATGACCAATTTTTCCAAAGTAAAGTTGTTCTTTTCTATTTTTTAATCAATTAACTGGATGAGGAGATCCAAGATTATATAAATATCTTGTTTCCCAATGATTACTAATCCAGTAACTGATGATTCTTGCTAAAACAATTATTATTTATATTATGGTGATATTCTACCTCTAAAATTCCCTCTACAGCTGCTGCTTGCATTTATTATAAAGAGCTTCTTTTCAGCTCTCCATTTGACTTATTTGTTTAGGTCAGTAAATACTCCTGAGTTCTTCTGTTGTTTAACGTTGTACTCATTATGATTATCATTCGAGACTCATATTGTTCCAGATTTGGCCTCTAGAGTTGGCCTCTGTATCTTTCTGAAGTAGCCCATCAATTTTGGCACATGCCCTTATTTTCTGATACAGGAAGATTTCCAAGATCATGCTTGCACAGCTCTGGAGTTGGGCATTTCTCCCAAAAGCCTCATTCCTTTTGGTGGTGAATTATATTTAGAAACCTAAGATCAACTATACTAATTACAAGGTGTCATCATTTGTAGGCCTATATACATACATACTTTTTTAAAAAAAAATTATGAATTCATGTTTTTATTACTAATTTCATTTTTTTAAAAAAAGGCTCACAGGATTTTTCCTCTTTTATCCCATTCCAATTTCCTTTCTTTCACTAGGAATACATTGACCCCCAGCAACATTGTAGTATTTACTCATTTGCTCAATTTAAAATACACTGAAAAAGAATCCTAGAAGTAAACTACTACCAACAAATACAAGATTTCTTTGCTTTTATGCTCTTTAGACTATACCTTTTTGACAATACAGAGTTTAAGTATTGTAATAAAAAGGTTTAGTTCTCTTTTTCCTATGAGGTGACAATGTGACTAACTTGATAAATAGGTGTGGTTTTTTAAAACATATTTAATGCTATGGTTTTTACTGTTTTATTATTTTGCACTGAATTTGTAAAAATGTAGGGCACAATATATTTTTAAGAGAAGATAGTGATTCTATAACATTCTAATGAAGTAATACCATTTTCATGAGATCAAATGACTTAAAAGAGAGGGAAACATTCCTACCACATGCAAGGCACTTCATGTAGAAGGCATGATCGAAAAATACAGTGAATGTTTGGAAAAAACATTACAGTAAAAGATGTATTACCATTACACCTCCTCAAAATATTCCCCCTTGCTTCAAATACACAGCATCATTTTTTGCCGCATTCTGAAACAGTGCTAGAAGTCCTCTCTCATGAGTGTCTTAAATTGCTTTAAGGAGGTTGAATCAACTAAAAATATTTACCTTTTACGGTCATTTTGGCTTTGGGGAAGAGCTGGAAGTTAGCTGCGTGGTTTCAGATCCACTGAATAAGGTAAGTGGCAACACACCGTAACACATTCACAAGCCTGTCTTTCTGTTGATGGCATTTGGTAGGAGCAATCACCATAGTTTTTTTTATCATGCCTCATAAAAATACTCATGAAACAAGACTTACAGAACTGCTTCAGAGAGTGGCAAGAACAATGGGCTGAGTGTGTTTGCAGTGAGAGGAAGTATTTTGAGGGAGATTAATAGGAATGTGTTTTAAAAACTTTAAACACATACTGTATTTTTTATGAACCCCTGTATGACCATACTATACTGCCACAAAAATAATAAGGCACATAAAATCCATTTTCACGTAAGTCAGAGTGAGTACTTCCATCAGGTCTCTCAATGGCTGAGGGAAGAGACAGAATGTGAACCCATGTCCATGTCCAGAGCCCATCTATTTTTATTTTTATTTTTATTTTTTTTTATTATTATTATTTTTTTTGTTTGTTTTTTTTCTCCAGTACCGGGAACCGAACTCACGACCTTGCGCTTGCCAGGCAGGCGCTTTTGCCGCTGAGCTAAATCCCCAGCTCCCTATTTTTATTTATTGAGTGCTCAAATTATACAGCAATGTGCTATCCAATTTAACCCTCAGAAGTACATTTTATTTTTACTTACTATTTACCAAGAAGGAAACTGAAACTTATTAGATGAATGGTTAAGTTATGGTAGGCCTCTACTTTGGGTTAATATGTAGTATCACTTGTTAATACAAATGACCTCGTATATTTCACAGAAACAGTTTCAAGCCATATCATCCAAGGTTAAACTATGTGATGAACTGTGCTTTCTTGTCTCAGCTCTCATACTAAACTGTACTTTCACATTCTTTTAGTGCCACATTTTCCACACTTTTGTGTTTTGGTGATTTTATTATTTAAAATGGCCAAGTGTCTAGTGCTTCTAAGTGTAAGAAGGCCATGATGTACTTTACAGAAAATTTTCATATATTCACATGATAAGCTTCATTCAGGTATGAGTTACAGCACTGTTGACCATGAACTGTTAATGAAATAGTAATATATATTAAATAAGGAATCTTTAAACAGAAGTACATGTAAGTGAAGGTTTTACATTGATCAGCTGAAAAAATATTTTGCCTGGAGGCTCACAGAAACCTCTTTTATTTCTCATAGGAGCACTAATGTTGTGATCATTAATTCAAAGTTCCCCATGAGTTTCTCTCTCCCCCTCCCCTTCCCTCTCCCCCCTCTCTCCCCTTCCCCTTCCTCTCTCCCTCTCTCTCCTGTCTTTCTCTGTTTCTTGTCTCTCTCGGCAGGGTCTCACTATGTAATCCAGGCTGGCCTTAAACTTCCTTATATAGCCCAGGATGGCTTTGGACTAACAGTGATCCTCCTGGCTCAGCCTCCTGAGTGCTGGGATCACAAGCATGTGCCACCATGCCCGGCCTTCGTCATGACTTTATAAATGTAATTATTTTGAATAATTACAAATTATTACAGCTCTGTTCCTGGGCAAGGTACTTTAGCCTCTTTGCATTCCAGTTTCCGTACACAAAAAGGCATCACCTAGTAGTGAGTGTTAAATGAGGTATGGCATGAAAAATGCTTAGAATAACATCTGGCCCCATAAAAACTAGTATTAGTTAGCTATTACTATATATCACTAATATTTTGACTGAAAACAATACTCTAAGAAACAAGCAATGTATTAGGAATATATTTTAAACACAGAGATCAGCTGGCTTTTCCTATCTATGGTAAAGGAGGAATAGTGTAATTTTCCACTTTTTCCCTGACATGAATTTTTTTTAAAATCAATACTTCCTATTTCTAATACTAACCTTATCATTTATATGAAGAGCCACTGTAAACATGTGAGCTACACATAGGCAGTAAAGACAGTATTTTGCTAAGATCTTAAGTTTGAAGGATACAGCAAATGTATAAAGTTAAAAGGGCATATAGTAAATGTTGTGAACTTCTTAAGACTTCTATTTACAAATATCAACGGAGTACCAAAAACACTGTACTTTAGGCATAAAATGTTTCAAAAATTTGTCTGATTTCATATTTCCACATCATATTTGGACTGTAACCTTCTAAAGAAAGGTGTGAGGACTGAACAAGAAAGATGTGAAGACTGAACATGCTCCAGAGACCAGATTTTCGTAGTATTATACACCACGCCTCAATACTGTGCAGAAAATGGAGCTCTTAAAATTAGCAAACTGACTCACTTCAATCTCAAAGGTGCCTATAACCACAAGAAACTAAAATAAAGATCCATGGAGGTTATTTATCTCTAAAGTCACTCATTTTTCCAATAATGCCACCGGCCTATAAATTACTTCCCATCTTTCTGATTCTCTTAAATATTACAGATAACATCAAATAACCCATTTTACTTCAATTCTAATTGCTGTAAAGAGTGAGCCTTACAGAAAATAAATGAGAGCAAAAACTCGGAACTCTAAGTAGATAGGAAACTATGAAAAGTATGTCTTTTTTTAAATATCAAATCTCTCATTATTAAAATTAGCATACAATTTGAATTTGCTCCTGACCCAAATTTACTTTACTAAAAGCAGATGATGATGATGATAACACCCCAAATGAAGCATCTACTAAATATTTTATTGTGCTAAGTGGTTTCCATAAGTATTTCATTTCTTTCAATAATTTAGGTAAGTACTCTTACTCCCTCTATTTTATAGATGAAGAAACTGATGATTAGCCAATGTTAAGTGACTTGTTCATGGGTTTCTCCTTTCTTCTTTTTTTTTCATGGTGCTAGAGATTAAACACAGGCCTTTATGCATGCTAGGTAAGCACTCTATAACTGAGTTTTACCTCCAGTCCCAAGTTACTTTTAAAATTAGCCAGCAGCAGAGTTGGTACCTTTCTCTTGACTCTCACTCAAATACTATGCTGTAATTTAACTTCTTAACTACTAAACTATACTGTCTCCCTTCAGAGAATCTCATGGGAATTTTCCTTTTTGTATTTTTTTCTGTTGTAGTTGTATTGTTCTTTGTACATCTGAGGTTTGTTTAGAATCCAAGTAAAACAAGTTGTTCCTGGCAAAATATGTTAGCTGGCAAGGAAGAGGGCAGATACAGAAGAAAGTAATTAAAATGAAGGTAAAATATTTGCTGATATCACCCTAACCTCTTTAAAATACTGCCAAGAAATTCTTTTCCTAAGGGCTAAAAGTTAACCAGAGATAATTTAGTACTGCTTACCAATAAATAAAAATAATGGTTCTGGGCTGGAGTATGCATAAGAAAACACACATTCAAACTATCTATGTGCCAAGGTTCCCAATTCATGTATTTCTACATCTCTCCTACAAATGATAAAAATCAGAAGGGCATGTCAGCTTTCTAAAATAATGCTTATATCTAGATTCTCTGTCATCATAGAGTTGTAATTTCTAGTACCCTGAAGGCTTTTTTTTTTTAAAGTCCTCAAGTATATGGAATCCTGGTACACCATTACCTAAATTTTTAGGTGAACCTACTGAAGTCATATTTTACAGTATTCTGCTCATTCTAGTCTTGTGGAATGTTACATATTCTGGAGTTAGAACGTAGGATTGAGATTGCTTTCATCTGTAGAGACAGCTCAATTACTTTCCATGGAAAAAGAGAGGGCAAAACTCCAAGAAACACTTCTATTCGTTCCCTTCTCAGTTAAAACACCAGAATTTAAATATGTAAATAAAATATAAAAATTTATATATATTTCTCCTTTTCTCTGAGGATCAGTTAACCTTTAAGAGCCAAAAGGACAAACAATGAAGAAACTAAACTGGCATCCTAAAGTGTATATTCCAAATAGAAAGAGTACTTATATTACATATACGGATCAGAATATGTCAATGCTATCACTCAACTTTATGGCAAGTAATAAAAGCATTGGCATCAATGGTATTACTGTGCATTCATTGTATAACTACACTTTATAGTAACATGTAGAGAGCGGGAAATTCTCATATTTCAAAAGACTACTAAGTTGCTGAAAAGCTGAAGCTATCAATAAGTTATCCTAACAAAAATATCTTTGAAAATTCACCTGAGTAAAGCTTTGGGCCCTGGAATTGCTACAGACTCTTTACTACAGTGTAGCTTACTTTAATAGCTCATTAATACTAATTGAGAATACTTTTTTTTTAATGAGAGTACTTCTTAATAAAGACTGATGCCCATATCTGAGTTGATGAAGGAAAACTTAAGTTTCAATTGGAACATATCTTGAACAATTAACATACCAACAAACGAAATTTTTCCTTTTTCTCTTTTTTTTTGAGACGAGATCTTACTATGTAGTTTAGGCTGGACTCACTATGAAGCCCAGGCTGGCCTCAAACTCACAGCAATCCTCCTGCCTCAGCTTCCTGAGTGCTGGGATTACAGGCATGTGCCACCACACCTAGCTCTAAATTTTTTCGTTTTTAAGAGTTTTCACTGCTCCCAAAATAACTGATTTCACTGCTTTGCTCACTGCCATTCTCTTCAGACCACACAATTTCACAAAAAGTAAACCAAGAAAAACCATTTAATCAACAAGTATAATCTCACAATATATTAGTAATATAAACTGAATTCCAAAGCAATGCTAAGCAAATTAATTTGTTTTGACCATGCCCCTATTGCCATCTGTTTACAAAATAATGCAACAACTGGTATAATAGGAATCCCAAATTGGGTCACAAACTGTTAAATGATGCTTAGAGACTCAGCTTTTAGAAATCTGTCACAAATGTTTCATGTTGAACCTACCCCACTTGTTTAGATGAACACTGCCCCTGAAGTTTCATTTAAAAGAAACTAAAACCAACCTTTCAAATGCTAGGGTGTCTGACTGGACAGATTATACTGGCATACTTACCTAAAGCTGTAAAATCTGAACCAGATTTGAATAGGGCAGAAGCTAGGAGCTGGAACTGTAAAGAAAAACAAACAAATTAGCTGGCTAGCATGTTTAAGAAAAGCACTTTCTGCAACTTTGACCATTTACAGTACTAGCCTCTGTATGTTGTTCCACATATGTTGCATAGACTCATTTAACCATATACTAATTAGAAGAGCACATTTAGATTAAGAATATGCTGGCTTTTTTATTGGAGTGCTATTATTGTTTTCAAAAATACATGACCAAGTCCTGAAATTATTCTTCAAAGTTTACTAAAGTATGTATGAATTAAGGAACAACAGGTTTACTGCAATGAAAATATAATCACTCACTTTGTAATCTATCAATCTATCTGTATGGATAGACTGGTACCTCAGACATAGTTACTGCATTTTTAGTACAGTGCATTCATTACTCCAAAAAAGAAAAAAAAGCATGCCCCTGTAAAATACCTGATGTTTCTGCTGTGTAAATCTTCAACTGTGTGAAAACAGCACACATTGGCAATTCCCAAATTACAAAATAAATGAGAACCCACAGTCATGGATAATTATATTTTTACCATTGAAAGTGCCCCTTTCCTTTGAGATAGGTTCTTGCTATGCAGCCCAGGCTGGCCTTAAACGTGCAATCTCCTGCTTTAGCCTCCCTAATGCTGGGATTAAGGGCACACACCACCACATGCGGTTTCAAAGAATGCACCCCCTCTTTTTTGAGACTAGGTCTTGCTGTATGATTCAGGCTGTCCCTGAACTCCCTACATAGCCCAGGCTGGCCTCAAACTTGCAGCAATCCTCCTGCCTCAGCCTCCCAAGTGCTGGGATTACAGGTATGTGCCATCAAAGGCCCTTTTTAATGGAAAGAATATTTCAAATATTGATTAGATTCTCAGGCTATCAGGTTTAAATAACTGAACAAAGACAAAACAGTGTAAGACAAAATTATTGCAACACTGGCAATTTGACAAATTAATAAGAAATTTAGGATAACTGTATTTATCCTGAATGAGGAAGCTGAAAAAAAGAAAAGTTAAAGAGTAAGAATGGTTTTTAAATGAAACATCAGGGGAAATATCTATCCAAACAAGTGGAGCAAATTCATCTCTCTCTCTGCAACTTCTAAAATTTCAAGTGTTAATCACACTATTATTAGTAAACCTGATTAATGTATTTTTGAAGGTCAGAAATGGTACAAATATCCTGGAGCTATCTACCTAATTAAAAGTTGGGAACAAGAAGGATAAAAGAGCTAGAAAAATATGATGCTGTTCATATATTCTAGGCTTCAATCTTCTGTTAGATGTATTTATTGCACATACTGTTAGTCTGTGGCTTACTTAATTTTCTTAATAACATCGTTTAGTGAATAAAAACTTTAATTTTGTTCAAGACCAATTTATCAAGCTATTTGTGAGAGTAGGTGGGGACTCCACAGATTGAGATGCCTGTGAAACAATCAACTTGAGATGCTGAGGTAGCAGTTGACTATGTGAATCCAGAGTTTGGATCCAGGTCTGTAATATCATTTGGTATTGTTGTTGTAAAGCCAAAGAAAAGCAATAGCTAAGGGGGAAACAGGTGTAAGGGATAGAACTGTGTATCATCAGCACCAATTTTATGAGTGAAAGGCAAAACAGACTGCAGTTCAGATGTGCTAGATGAACAAAGACGGCTTGGAAAAGGAAGACATAACAAAATAAATCTCAGAAGTTGGTAGAAAATAACAGGTATGGAGGCATATGCCTATAATCTCAGCATTCTAAGAGGCTGAGGCAGGAGGATTACAAGTTCAAGCCCAGGCTGGGCAACTCAGCAAGGGTTAACAAGACCCTGTTTCAAAAAAAAATAAAAATAAAAATAAAAAAAAGTCTGAGGATGTAGTTCAGTGCTAGGACCCTGGGTTCAATCCCCACCACCACCAAAAACAGGGTTGGGGGAAAGAGAGGCTACTGTAAAATCATGAAAATCATTGTGGGCATAGTCACACACTAGATGAGCAAATATGCCCTTAAGAATATGACATCTTTAGAAATAGCTGCTTCGAGCCCTGTAACAAGAAACTGGAAAGTCCTAATCAGCTACTGATCTGCAAAATTTAAGAACTAATGATGAATAAAGTACGGAGCCTATAGTCAAGCTATCCTGCTATAACATTCATACAATTAAGCACTTTTTTTTTCTTTTTCTTTTTGGTACTGGGATTCAAACTCATGACCTCACGCTTGCTAGGCAGGCACTTGCGCTGCAGAGCTACAAGATTTTTTTTTTGGTACCAGGAATCAAACTCATGACCTCAGGCTTGCCAGGCAAGCGCTTATGCCAGAGAGCTACATTCCTGGCCCCTCATATAATTAAGCATTAAGGCAACAAGGATTCTATTCCCACCAACCTCTCTCCCTACAAAAAGAGGGAGTATTTTCTTTTCTCTCTTTAAAGAACTTGAGTATCGCCAGGCGTGGTAGTGCACGCCTGTAATCCCAGCACTCGGGGGGTTGAGGCAGGATAGCCTCAAATATGAGGCCAGTGAGACCCTGTCTCAAAAAGACCAAAAAAAAAAGAAAAAAAGAACTTGAGTATCAACAGAAAAGTTTTTTTTGTACAGGTAATCAAACTCAGGACCTTGTGCTTCCCAGGCAGGCAGGTGCTTTTGCTACTGAGATATATCCCCAACCCTCCTTTTTTTTTTTTTTTTTTTTTTAAAGTATTGCAAATTGAACCCAGAGCATTCACAATAACAACCCCATCCTTTTTTTCTTTTTTCAGTTTGAGACAGGGTCATCACAGCCTGGGCTTAAACTTGTAAAACGCCTGTCTCAACCTCCTAGAGTCCAAAGATTATGGACTGAGCTACAGCACCAAATGCTAGCAGGTTTTATATTTGTGTGTATATGTGAAAGACAGAGAGAGAAAGACACATACACACGGTTTCAGATTCACAGTGTAGGCCACACTAGCTTCAAACTTACTATGTAATCCAGGATGGCCTCACACTTGTGATCCTTCTGCCTCAGTGACCTCAGGGCTGGGATTACATGCATACTCCAATAGTTTTATTTTTGATACAGGGTCTCACTGTATAGGCCTGGCTAGACTCAAACTCATGAAGTAATCCAGGCTGGCCTCAAACTCAACATAAAAGTTTATATCGAACTATTACATAATTCAAGAAATTAAAAAAGCAAAAGCAAAAATTACTATTTTCTTCCTGAAGTACAAAACTACTACCTGAGTAAAACTTTATATGAGAATTCTTTTCCAAATGGATTGAGAATCTTCTGTGTAACTTGCATATTCTATTATCACTTGAAAACATGTCTTTTTATTTTACCTGCTGTGCCATTTTTAAGATTACTGTCATTATATTTTCTTTTAAAAGTTCAAGTTTTTAAGAAAAATACTCAATTTCTGAAGTTTATCACCACCTTTCTTTACCTCCTTTGTCTCTTCTGGGTCTGAATGATCCACAGTTATATAAAGATCATTTTGCAAATATTTTAGAGCACTAAGAGGATCTATTTGGGCCTTTTCTTCAAACCTAGAAAATATAAACAAGAATAATAATTATTTTGACTTACAAGATACCATTACAAATGTCATTAAGATCCAGAGCAAATTAATACACCTCAGTTCACGAACACATTTATCCTCAAAAATAACTCTATGATGATACAGTTTTACCATTTTTAAAAATAAAAAACATAAGACCTAAAAAATGAGTTTGACCAAGGTAAGACCTAGTAATTAACAGAAGCAGAATCAAATTCAGTTGTATCTGTTCTAAAGCTGAAAAGGAAAAGAGCTCTCTTAAAGGGGGAGGGTCCCCTCTATTCAGATCTACTTAAGTAACAATGTACTTTGGTTATAGTATAATCATACATGGATTTATTTAAATAAATTATCATGGTTTTCAAAATATACAAAGAAAAGACAATTCATTGAATTTTTCTTTGGGTAAGGAAAATGGTGAAGACTCTTATGGCATTCAGGCTAAGGACAACCTCCATGGTAAGGTATCTGTACCTTATGCAAGTCGAAGACTAGCAGAATATTACAGTTCTCTTGTACCTTTGTTTACTTCCCCGGTACACAACATACTGCTCTCCCTCTAAGTTTGTATTTTTACTAAATAGAATAATTACTTTCCATAACAACAACAACAACAACAACAACAACAACAACAACAAAGGGAGGCCGGCCAGAAACATAGGGCAAGCTGTTGTATGAGTGTCTAATCAGCATGACATCTGCAAAAATTTGCTGGAGTTCACAAACTCTGCATCAGGTGACAAACATAATCATAGCCATCTTCCCTACAAAAAATCCACAAAAACAGCCATCTTCCCCCAAATTATAAAACAAATTAAGTACATAAGCCAAGGTACCACTGTATATGAAATGAGTTATTCTGGAGATCTAAGACATGTTTGGGAATCCAGAGTAAGAATATCACCAGGTAGAAAGGGGAGATGTGAAGTTCTTGGCAGTAATAGCAATGCCAGGTGGCCAAAAACAATTGCAGCACTAAAGAACAGGTATTTGTTGTTAGCCTTTCCTTAAAAATGTAATTGAGAATTATGGCAACTGCATAACAGTGACTATGCCAAATATTTTACATGTCAGAAGTGCAAAACAGTTCAGCGTGTTTCATCAAAAACAAGGGGCCAGCTATAAAATAAAAATACTTGCTTAGATTTGTAGAATATATTTTTCTAAGAAATATATATGCTTAACTGAAATGAGTACTTTTTAAAGGTATCATTAACACTGATTTGATATTTTTAATGAGACTATTTCTATGTCTCAGTGAAAACATCATGAGAGAAACACCTGCAGTAACCACTTATCCAGCGTTTGTAATGTGTGAGATACTGTATCAGGTATTTTATACACAAATTTTCCAAGAAATTTTGTGCAACCTTTAGAGCTATCCAACATCTTACTGTGTTTTCTGTCTCTTTTGTGGAGTATCTCTTCCTCTGCATGCCTCTCAAAAGGTGATGACCCTCCAACAATGCCCACAGACATTTACTCTTCTCACTTTCCCTGAGCAGCTCTTTCTCCCTGTTGCCGGCTCAAGGATGTAATGTCAGGCAAATCCTTTTCTCCAAATGCTCACAGACAATCTCCACATCAACTAGCTGGTATATACGAAAAAAAAAAAAGAACTAAAACTATAAGGTTCTTTAAATTTGCTTAACATTTAAACAAACCCTTTTAAAAATAAAGTTAACATTAAGTAAAATACTAAGGTCAGAATGTTAGCAACATTAGTTGGAGGTACTATTGGATTCTGGTTTAAATCTTGTAAAAGTTTATCCCTTGCCATCTAGACAGTAAAAATTCACTTTTTTCTCTTCTACATCCTGTAGCAAACAGACACTAATTATTAACAATAATGCTTCACACAGGCTTTTACATTACTTTATCTCAAGCACGACTTGTGAAGCTGAGAAATGGTAACTAAACATTATATGTAAAGGAACACAAAGCTAATTTATACATACACAGAGATTTTTAGGTATTTACCTTCTATATAAAATATGTAACGTGCTAAACATATAAAAATAAATACACACACATAATATGTACATATATAAACAGACAGACGTGGTAGTTAAATGGAGGGATGTAGTAGTGTTGTAATATCTGGGATAAAATCCTGGCTTTGAATTAGTACTCCAAAAAATTCTCAAGGATATCCTACAAAAAGGCAATAAAAGTAACAGTGACAAAATGAAAGCCTAACAAAATGAATATTCCAGGTAAGGTGAGCAGTTAAGCAGAAGGGAAAGAAAGGGAATCAGAAACAGGAAAATAATGCAATGACAGGATAAGTCAATACCTTTAGGTAATAACTCTGAATGTGAATGGTCTCAATTCTTCAATTGTAAGACAGACTGGAAGAATGGATCAAAAACCAAAATCCAATTTTATGCTGTATATAAGAAACACATTTAATTCAAAAAGAAATTCATAGACTAAAACTCAGAAGAATGGAAAATAATATTCCATGCAACAGGAACACAAAAGAAAGCAGGAGTAGCTATTCTATTTTCAGATGAAGTTGATTTCAAGCCAAAACTCATCAGAAGGCAAAGAAAGTCATTATAAATTGGTTAAGGGAACCATTCAACAGCAGTAACAATTATTAACATAAATGCACTGAACAACAGCACATTCACCTTCATAAAACAAGTACTACTATACATAAAAGATCAGACAAACATCAATGCAATTATAGTGGGGAATCTCAATACTGCACTGTCACAAACAGATCAACTAGCCAAAAAAAAAAAAAAAAAAAAAATCAAATATCAGTACTGAAGAAAAGCTTCAAATAAATGGGCTTAATAGATATCTAAGCATTCCACTCAATAATAGCAGAATATATATTTTCTTAGTAGCACATGGAACTTTCTCCAAAATAGACCACATACTAGCCAATGAAGCATGCTTAAGTCAATGCAAAATAAATAAAGTTATAGCATGCATATTTTATCAGATCATAGCACAATGAAACTAGATATAATGAAAAAAGAAAACAGAAATTGTGCAAACACATGGAAATTAAACAATACACTATTGAATAATCATGACTTGAAGAATGAAGGAAGAAATAAGACAGTTCCTAGAACTAAAAATAATGCTGATATAACACACTAGAATTTATGGGACATAATGAAAGCAGTCCTAAGAGGGAAGTTTATAGCTCTGAATGCCTACATCACAAAAACAGAGCAAGTTCAAATAATAACATAACAATGCACCTCAGACTCCTGGACTATCAAGAACAATCCAAATCCAAAATCAGTATGAGGAAAGAAATTATAAAAACCAAAGCAGAAATCAGTAAAACTGAAAAGAAAAAAAAAATACGAAGAACCAATGAATCAAAGAGCTGCTTCTTCAAGACAATAAACAAAAGAGACAAAAGTGTCTATTCCCCTCCTCCAAAAAAGGTGAAATTATAATGGACACTGCCATAATCCAGAAGATTATTAGCAACTACTTTGCAAATCTATATGCCAATAAGTTGGAGAATTCAGAAGAAACAGATTCTTAGATACATACGAATTTCCAAAACTAAACCAAGAAGATGTAAAATCCCTGAATAATCCAACAACAGGCAATGAAATTAAAGCAGTAATAACCTACCAACAAAGAAAAGCCCAGGTCTGGATGGATTCACTGCTAAATTTGACAAGAACTTCAGGGAAGATTTAACACCAATACTTCTCAAGATGTTTAATGAAACTGAAAAGGAAGCAATACTCCCAAAGTCATTCCTGGAACCTACCATTACCACGAAAGGCCACTCTCTTTAATGAATATTAATTAATTTAATGGATATTTGTAGATGACAAAATCCTCTACATAGAAGACCCAAATTATTCCACTAAAACACTCCTAAAATTAATAATCAAATTCAATAATGTAGCAGGATTCACAATACACAAAAATCAATACTGTTCCATAATCCAATAATGCACTCACTGAGAAAGAAATTAGGAAAAAAAATACCACTCACAATAGCAATAAGAAAAATTAAATACTTAGCAATTAACCTAACCAAGGAAGTAAAAGATGTCTACAGCAAAAATTACAGTACTTTGAAACTAAAGAAAATGGATAGATATCTCCTATTCCAGGATATACAGAAATAAACAATATAGTCAAAATGACCATATTTCCAAAACTGATCTACAGATTTAATATAATCCCAATCAAAATACCAAGAGCAGTCTTCATAGAACTGGAGAAAACAATTCTAAAACACACATGAAACCAGAACAAACCCAGAGTAGGGAAAGCAATCCTGGATAACAACAGCAGAGTGGGAGGCATCACAATCCTGGACTGAAGTTCTATTATAAAGCTACAGTGACAAACTGAAGTGAACCGAAGCAAACCGAACCACAGCATGCCACTGGCACAAGAACAGATATGTGGATCAATAGAACAGTACAGAGGATGCAGAAACAACACCAAGCACATTCAGCTTTATCTTTGGCAAAGACACCAAAAATATACACTGGAGAAAAGGTAGCCTCTTTAATAAATGGTGCTGGGAAAACTGATTATCTGCATGCAGATACTGAACCTAGACCCATAACTCACTATGTGCTAGACTAAAATGAAAATGAGTCAAAGATCTAAATAACAAAACAGAAACAATCTGCAGTAAGATAAAATAGGTAAAACTCTTGAAGTCATAGGCATAGGCAAGGACTTTGTGAGCAGAACCCTAGTTGCACAGAAAACAGTACCAAGAATCAACAGATGAGTGTGTAAAATTAAAAAGCTTCTGCACAGCAAAGAAAACAACAGTGTGAAGAAACACCCTACAAAATGGGAAAAAATTTCTGCCAGCTACTCCTCAGAAGACTAATATCTGTAATATACAAAGAATTCAAAAGAATTGGACCACTCCAAAATAAAAGACCCAAGCAAAAAACTGGCAAGTGAAACAGACACTTCTCAAAAGAAGTGCAAATAGCTAATACATACAAGAAGAAATGTTCAACATCACTGGCCATTAGAGAAATGCAAATTAAAATAACACTCTATCTTACCCCAGAAAGAATGGCCATCATCAAGAAATCAACAAATCCTGATAAGGATGCAGGAAAAAAGGAATCCTTCAAAACTGTTGGTGGGAATATAAACTAGTATTGTGTCACCACTATGGAAATAGCATGGAGACTCCTCAAAAAACTGAAGCAAGAAACTCCATTAACCAAGCTATTCACAAGGCTAAAGAGCAAACATGACCAAAGACCATGACCATTATATGGGTAAACAAGGTAATTATATAAAACTGAAACCATATTTAAAATTGACTGTGACACATCAAATTGCTTGTAATCCCAGCACTTGGGAGGCTGAGGTAGGAGGCCTCAGGCAGGAGGGCTACACAGTAAGACCCTATCTCAAAAACAAAACAAAAAAATTATTTAGCCAATTACAATACTACATTCATCATTATAAGAATAATGAACAGGTTGAGAATTTAGTATGTCAATAATCTAGAGTCTCACTCTGTAGTTCAGGCTAACCTTGAACTCATGATTATCCTCTTGCCCTAGCTTCCTAAATGCTGAGATTACAGGTGTACACTACTATGCTTGGCTAAACTGACCTAATTTGTAATTTTAGGAACTGAATTCCTTCAAGGTAGCAACATGACCTTTACAGCAAAGCTCTCTGTACTATTTTAATGTGCACAAAATTTCAATTTCTCTGTATTTAAAATATTTTAATGCCAATGCCTTTACTTTGTATCTTCCTTTGAAAGAGGAAAGCAAAAAAATAAGTAACAAAATGGCTACAAAATACATGATTTTCACAACATTTACATTTATCTTTTTATTAAAGTTGCAAAGAGTAAGTCTTATTTCCAAAGCTAGGTAACACCAACAACAGCTGATAATGTTAACTATAAGTTTTTAGCGAGTTATTCTGATACCTGTGTTTTCTTATGAGGTACTTGCAGTGCCTCAGCAAATAATCTTTCGAAGGTCGACACAGCTTCAGTGACCAGAAGTCATCAAGTCTCATCTTTGGAGAACAAGATTTTCCTGGGTTCCCACCAAATAAGTAATGAACCTATAATAAACACAACAAACCAGGTTTTTAGAACCTCATACATTCTCAAGGAAATATAGAAGCCATAGTAAAATTTGTTTTGATGGTAGTGCATAGCAGGTAACTTCTGTAGCCACATGCACATAAAAAGATTAAAAATTAGTACATTTTTTGCCAAAAGCTTCTATTGATTTTTCTCATGTTTCCACACCCAGCTGTTTCCATTCTACTTTAAAATACTGTGGCTACTTTCCTAAACTACCTTTTACACAAAAATGGCTTGTACTACCATAATTACAACAATAGGAAAAAGCTAATCCAACATACAGTTTCCAGAGGATAACAAATAATAAGTTAAGTGTTCAACAGAACAGCAAATGGCATCTTTTAAAAGCACTCTTGACACACAGCCAGGCGTGGTGACCACCCATGCCTATAATCCCAGCTACTCAAGAAGGTAGGAAGGTGATGAATGAAGACCACAAGATTGAGATCAGCATGGGCCATTTAGAGAGAACTTGCCTGAAAATAAAAAAGGGGAGGGGAGAAGAAAAGGGAGTGAGTGGCAGGGGAGGGGAAGCAGGAAAATAAAGAGAAACTAACATAATTCTGACATACATGTTGAACAGAGTAAACGAAGGAAAAGAGTACAAGAAAAACTTTTTAAATTTTATCATCTTATTCTGCTTTAAGCTAAATGTCAAATATTAAATGGCACATATAATTTGTGAAATAACCTTAAAAATATTATTCCATTATTAATTACCAAAAATGTAAGAACATAGTAAGATTTCATTATTAGACTTTTAATGTTATTCCATACCTATACCAAGCTTTCAAGCATTTCCTGAAATTCTGTAAACATTCATATTCAATAGTATTATACAGTAGAGATATTATTTCTGTGCTATAGATGAAAATTTATTTAAAGACTTCAATTGGGAGAACAGGCTTTTTTCATTGCCATGGTACCCTGGAGCTCCACAGCTATACAGCACACTTTAAACAATCATCTACACAGCCTAAACAGAATCAGGATATGTCAGTAAATTTCTATATAATCTGAATCCAAGCACTTAACTACATAAGTTTAATGGAGAAACAGTTAAAGAAATCACTCTGAACGCCTGATGACACTCAAACTTTCAAATGCAATACCATTTTCACAAGGATATTCAAAGAGAAATCACTCGTACAAAGGAAAATACAGATAGGATAACTTGAGAAATTATATACCAGGAAGTTACATACTTGTTCCTTTTTCATATCATAGGTCAAAGTATTCAAATGCTAAAAACTGTGCATTTTTGCTTGTTTTGGTGGTGGTACTGGGCCTCATACATGCTAGGCTGAGCTGAGCTATATCCTTGGCCCCTCATTCCTGACTTTAAAGGAAATGCTTTATTTTTCTTCATCCAGTAGGATTCTAGCTGGAGATTTGTAATATACTGCTTTT